GGTTTCTTCTAACCGTAACGTACGAATATGAAATTTCCTATGAAAACTCAAGGCACTCCTGAAACCTTGTGGCGGACTACCGGCTATGAAACACTGATTTAGACACATATACGGCATTTCGTGTTGCCATGGTTCGCACTCCTGTCTCGTTTCAGGAGTTCCCAGGTTCGAGTCATCTAGTGCCGAAGTTAATACATGGAGATATCCCTCCACTCCCCCACCCCCACCCCAATTTCGTGGTGCTTTAGCACAGAGACAGATTTTACCTTTTTCATCTCATGTGGCACAGAGGTTGAATGTAGTAACTGCTATATCCACTAGAGTGCACTGCCTTGATGTACGTATGTAAAGTGTCATGGCAGTGCTTAACAGCTGACGCTACAGTGGAATTTCTAATTACGATAGAATGATTAGCAACGTTTGTTACAAAACTCAAAATTGGTGTTAAAACGTATTTAGGAACTAGAACATGCTACTTGCTGTTATAATACAAACGCTCTGCCCACTTTGAGAATGAGTTGTACGACTATAGTTCGTGAAAATGTTGTTCTCTGTTTCACTTTATAGTGCAAACACTCAAGCCTATTCGTACGCCATTAAGCATTCCATATTTTCGATGATTTCCTTGCTCCTGGTAGGATTTGAGGTTTTCACGGCGGTGAGAACGAAAATTGCTGTATTCTGGGTTGTACCGCCTTGTAGTCTGGCAGAAGTTTACCGACGATCTCGGAAACATTGGTAAACTTGTACCAGACTATACGACGCTACAACCCAGAGGACAGCAATTTTCTTTCCTTGCGCTTGTAATTATTTTCGATAGTCTTTTGTCCAACGAAGCGTACCATACAAGAACCTAACCCAACCTAACCTAACCTAACCTAACCTAACCTAACCTAACCTAACCTAACCTAACCTAACCTAACACACACACATGGACTTCGTTCGAGCTCATGTCTACGTCCATCACGCTGTTCACATGATTTATCCAACTGTGTCTGCAGAATGTATTTTATTCTGTACTGACTACATTTGCAGGTTTTGCTTGGTGTCTTTAGTCTAGTACAGCCTTTAACTGCTTTTAAGTATCTAGGAACATTGTTTCTGTGAGTAGTATGTGTGTTTAAGTGTGTACCTCTCTCCATGATGAGTTAAAGAGAGCGAGAGAAACTTTGTTATTGTTAATGTATAATTCCTTTTGGCATCTTTGTGTGTGTGTGTGAAAGAATTTAAAGAAAAATGTTAGGCTGTCACCGAAATTCATGTTCTGTGATTATCCGAATCAAATGTATGGCTACCGTCCTCAGCTACGTGACACAGATCTCTCCACTAGACGAAGGACCAAATGGAGTAGACTGTTCCGAAAGTCCACACCTAGCCTCTGGTAATGTTTGGTTTCCTGTTTCTGGCGAATCATTCCTTTATTCCTAATGCACTTCAGGGAACAGGACGTCGTCATTATGAACATCACGCATTAAAGCGTCTATTTATTTTGTTGGTTTCTATGACAAACGTCAACGTTTGGGGTGTTGATTAAGGTCTACGTGTGATACCCAAGTGAAGACCTGTCAGTGGCGTAGACCATCCCCGTTAAAGGTAGCGGATTTGTAATTAAATTTGTCCTCACCACATAGCAACGGGTCTGAAGCTTCCTGGAAAACGACTTAATTTACATTAGCCCCCCCTTTACAAAAAAATAAAAATAAATAAGAATAAAAACATGGGACATTTTTTCCATTTATTTGCATTTACTTTTATTTATTTATGCAATATGTCATTTTCACGTAAAACATTACTTACCAAACTATATTCAAGCTGGCGTAGCTATCTTTTTCTTCTATTTTCAGCTTCTTAATTTCATCTCCCTTATTTCTTCTCCTTTATTTCGCTTCGTGCCATTCACTTCTGGGCCGACCTTCCAAGGTGAACTTGATGTCACTATGAGCTGAATGGCGGGGTGGGGTGGAGTAAGAGGGAGTGTGGCCATTTCTTGTTCGTGTCCACTTTTAGCTCCGAATATGCTGTGAGGCTTTTGACCGTCTTCGCATCTGAATCTTGCATCGCAACCTTCGGTTTTGTTTTCTTTTTTTCCCAAATAAGCGATGGATCAACCCCTAGGGCCTCAAATCGCAATGTTTCTGTACAATTTCGATTGGCTGCTAGAACTGCAGTAAATGCAATACTTAGGAAATTAATGTAAAGTTTCTCGCTTCTTAAAATGTTTATTGGACTCTGTCTAGAAGTCTCTTTATTGTCTGTTGTAGCAGACAGAGTCGACTTTATTTCAGAAAGCACCCTATTTGAATCTCTTAACCGGGTTACTGACTACATTGACAGATTGTTCGTGTACTTTTGTTTCATCTGGAGAATTCCTTCGAATGGGACACGGTCGGCTCCTTCAAAATCCTTCCAATTCAACAATGAAGGTTGTATTTCTGTCATCCGCGACCGAATCATTAGCACTCTCCCTTTGCGTTTGCAAAGCCCTGTGTTCACATCTCGGTCCGGTGACCAGCTATCCTGACTGAAGTCTGACTGTTTTCCGTAGTTTTCCTCAGTCCCTTCAGAAAAATTCAGGAACTGGACCTTAATTTAGACCACAACCGCTTCATTCATTTTCCTTCCCAATTTATTGTTTATTAAGTATTCGGTTCTGTATTAACAATGTCGTTAGATAAACCACAAATATGGAAAACGTGTGAAGTTACGTAATGCATAAAAATAACTTAACAAAGACACGAAGTATTAACGGCGACTGAAATGTCGGGACCCCCATTCGATTTCCTGCCTGAACATCGACTCTTTGAATTAAGTCTTTGCTATTTTCTTTAGTTTATCCATGAAAATGCTATTACAGTACCTTCAAATAGGTCATGGTTATATCCTCCCATAGCCTTGCCATTTAATAATCCATGATCCTACAGTTCGACTTCATTTAACCTACGCAGTTAAGAAAGGGTCGTAAAATAAACTAAAAGACAATCAGTTTCCAAGAAAGGGCTGTTATGCAATAAATAGATGCATTACGTAAAAGATGTACCATTATGATATTTAATGAACATGATTATTTGTCGTGTGTCAGTTATTAAACTAAGTACGAAGAAAACAAATTTATAATGTATTACATGAAAGTGTTTACTTCTGTTGTAAATTAATTTCAAGAAATATAGTCTGTGTGAAATACAGATCCTTAAAGAGCGCATTTATGGAGTGATGTTTCACATTTGTTCTCTTCTAGAGTGTTTGTTTATTAGGAAATTACTCACATACTGCAGTACTAACCTTCATGCTCCATCCTTCACAAATATTATTCTTCGAAGCAAATCGGCCAAACCTCTTCACTCCAAGATGATTTGGGTGACTTGAACTAACCTCTTTTAGGCTATGTCTAGTAGTGTAATTCTCTGGACAGACAAAGCCTAGGAGAGGCTAAATCAGAGTCTCCACAGCAGCTGTTGGCTTTCAAATCTTCTTGTGGTTTTTATGACAGATCTTTAGATTAGTGTTCTTCATTCCAGGGTTATATAGATGCTGTTAAAACAGTTTCACCAATGAATATTAAATTTCAGATAGCATGAAGTTTCATTTCATGTTGTCTATACGCTCTTTACACTCAGTGCTGAACAGGAACACTTGGTGGACAGGCGTCTGTCCTTCCGCAAAACATCTAATGGAAATCGGCGAAATTTTGCTATAAGGCAAAAAAGACTGAAAGTTATCCGAAGAATATAAATTTGTTTCACTTATTTCCACTGTATCCCATACATTGTCGCATATATGTTGAAATCTATTAATTACATTTGTCAGAAATCCTATCAACGTATAAAATAATATTCTCCCTGGCAAGTAACTCTGCTATTTTTAATATTTGCATGTAATAAATAACTATACATAAATCTGGTGAGTATTTGTAGTTGTTACTTAAACATTTTCTGAATGGTGTGTTAAATGAAGTAAAGAGTGATTTGCTTTTGTCGGTGGTCAGATGATGCCAATACCGTCTTAATGGTCAGGCCACATGGGGCTTCACTTCAGAGAGAGGCCATAGAATTTGGAGATGCGAAATAAAACACAAAATCAAAATTTTCAGAAATCCGAATTATTAGACACGAGGAAAGATAGCTTTTATTTCAGTTCGTAGAAGTGCAGATTTCAACTTATAACAACTTTCGGTTCCATCGATGCTGTGTGCGGGAATGCTTGTCGTCCATCCCATAATAATGCGGTTTGTGTTATTGTTCTCTGAGCAATTAACTAGGCAGAAACCATCCTGATATTATACAACCAGAGCAGAAATTCTATAAATAAAATTTGCTGTGTGAGCGAAGGGGTCGAAAAGTTGTGGTCCATGGGCTGTTATGCCTTAAGAGGCCCTGATTTGGACTCCTTCTTAGTGTTCGCTTAACGGAGCATGTGGTGAGAAGAATTTTGTTATGAAAACACTGTTCGGTAGCTGGCAAATGTAAGCACATTAGTGTACTTTAGAGATGGCATATAAACAAACAGAAATAAAATAAGAGTTATATGTATTTATGGTATTTCTTAGTTTGTTGGTTAAACAAACACAGCGTTTCGGAAGTTAGCTTTGCTTTCGTTATCAAATGAAAATGTCGTACCTAATGTTTTGGCTCAATTGGATAAAGCTTATCCCAATCCCCAGAGCTTTATCCTCACGGACTCAACAGATTAGTTTTGTTACTGAAACCTGATGATGGAAGCAAATACAGTTTCCGAAATTACATGTGTGTTTTTAAACAATAGACAAAGAATTATATTCGAAAATACGTTTTGTTTCAACAAAACATCTTAATAAAAATTGTAAACAAGCAAATTAAAGCTGTCCCACTCTACGCCATGTAGGCGCTCGGGGGGAGTAATAGTATAGCTCCTACTCATTCTTAAGCTTGGCACTAGATGGGGGTGAGTGATCAACATTACGCCCCGGCCGCGCTTTGCCCCCGGGAAAGGACTCCGGTACCCATTGGATAGGAGGCTAGGTGGTAAAAAAACTTTGCTCTAATCAAAAATAAAAATTTTAAATAATAGGTTCCGACATGACATCGGAACCAAGCTCAATATTAATAAGATTTTCTGACCTGGCAGTCATCACTTTCTGTATCGGAGATTCTTATGCAAAGTGCTTGATGTGAGATGTTAGTATTATAATTGTCGGTGCTTGTGGTTGGACAACACGTAGTCGGAAAAACGAATATTTCCTACTTCATAACGGGTCTTGCCATGGTCAAACTGTAGACAAATTGAAACACAAACCAATGAAGACGACACAGAAGAATTTCAGGTTCTTATGGTTGTAAGTACGAAGATGGTTGTATTCTGGGTTGTAGCGCCGTGTAGACTGGTAGACGTTTACCAGCGTTTCAGTGGTCCATGCAGCTTCCATTATGATGGCTGTACAACCCAAAAGACAGCCATGTTTGCACTGAAGATTTGGCTACGTTAGCATTTAACTAAAATTGCAGTAGCTTTCTTATTCCTCGTGCAGGGAAGAGAGGGGGCATGAGATTGAACAAGCGATCGAATGTCTGTTCTTACATAAGAAGGCGTTACAGGCGTCGGACGTATTCGGCATTGAGGAAGTTCAAATTCCAAACTAACGTGCCTTTCACTGACGCAATCATACACAGACAGAAAGCGGCGCCAAGTTTTTGCACATTTGTATTATGATGATGTGAGAAGCCCTTGAAAAGTGAGGTTAAGGAATGCGGTAAGATTTAGGCAAATTCAAGGGTGGGCTGCAATGTACAGAACAGCTGTTGTGTCATGACATTGACTAGTACAGTTGGCCATGTTCCTTGCCGTGTAAAGGAGGCTCTGAATTAAATGGAAAATTTCGTAAGGAACACTCATTAGTTGGCACTGGGATCTGTGACAGATAGTTTCATGTAAACAGCAACAATAGAATTAATGTATATATACGGCCGATATTTGTATATTGGGCACGTGATACAGGTTATTTTTGGCCTAGCGTTCGAATCCAGCAGGGGTCATAGATATACTTGCGTTTTTCTGGTTTTACGCGGTAACTGATTCTTGGAGAGTTTCTCTTTATTTTGACGTTGATTTCATGTCTCTATCGTGCTTTGTTCCAAAACTATGACTGTTTGTTACCCCATCATTATTTTACGGACACACTGTATATAGATGCTTTTTGATATGACTGTACTTTTCCATCTTATAGATAATGAAATTTTCAACTTGCTTCAGAATCTATACATGTAAGAGGACCTAATTCATGAGTGATAAACAAAAGAGCAAAACGTAATAAGCAAGTCATTACTAAATTATTATATCTAGCACTACAGTATTATCCGGCACGTTGAATGCACTAAAATAAATTTAACAGGACTATTTACTACAAATGAATACCGCTAGAGTTCTGGTGAAAATTTGAGAGAAATACCCGAAGTTGCTTACCCACGTCTAATTGAAATCACTGTTAATCCTGTAATTATCTACTGCCATTTTAACAAGAGAAAGGTAAAAGTAATTCATAGCACGTGGAAAACGATAAGTTGTAAAAGAACTTTCATTAGCTGCACCACTTCTGTTTGTTTGTCATTCCGTTTATCCGTGTATAACATCTCTGTAACTGCTGAACGGGTTTTCATGAACTTTGAAATTATGGGGTTTACTAAAATTTGTCGACAGATTCCATTTTTTAATCGGACAACAATAACAGACTCTGTACATGAATACCTACCTGCTTCTCTATGTGTGTCAGTGTAACTCGCTAAATTTTTGTCTGAACGGAGAAAATTTTAAACATTCGCTGTAGAGAAAGATAAAACGTTGATTTTATGCCTAGTACATTCATTTCACAAGTCCTGCAGTTCTTCAAATAATTGAACAAACGGGATCATTATGCTGAGTAATCTCTTCAGCTCGAAAAATTTTGGTCTGATTTAGATCAAACGTTATAGGAGATCTTTGTTCATCCGCTCCGCCTTTCTTGCGCTGTTACAGGAGATCATCAGAAGTTAACTTTCACGAGTTGAAAGTTGAGGCATTTAACAGAGCGAACTCACCGGCACTGTTACGCAATGCGTATATATTCTAGCTTGTTAATATAAGAGTGCTAAAACTGCTCATGCTTTGCCTAATGTAATGTTGGTTCAGAGAATTTACAGTGTATTTTGTACTAGTCTACAGTAGTGTATGTGAAAGTATGCAACAGTTAACTCATGGTCCTACAATATGTATTCTCTCTGTTTTATGATGACAGGTTATTTACTGGTGGGCTATGTAGGCCTATAATAACCAATTTTTATGAAATTACAATCGAAAAATTAAGTAATAATGTTGTTGTTATGATGACTTTGAAATACTTCCATTATTCATTACGAACTTGTCATATTATTCTGGGTTTCTATCTGTTCGTCTCTTACCTTTACAGTGACAGTAATTACTGATAGATTTCAATCGAAAGCATTCCGTAGTCATGTTATTGTAGGCCATTGGACTTTGATAATTTTCATCCACTAGCCATTACCAACAGTACACTGCATGCAATGTTGTGTGTAGAAAATCTTTACAGTGACACCATTAATGAAGTAATTTTTATTTAATATATCCTTTGACAACACGGTAACAGTCCGATTTATATGTATGTTTGAGAACAGAGTACTGAGGAGAAACTTTGAGGCTAGAGGGATTGTGGTGACAGGAGGCTGATAAAGTTGCATAATGAGGTGCTTGATACTTTGTATTCTTCACCATTTATCATTAGGGTGATCAAATCAAGGGGTATGAGACGGGTGGGGTGCGTAGTACACACGGGGGAGATAATTAATGTTTACGCAGTTTTGGTTCAAAAATCTTAAGGGAATAGACCAGTCGGAATAAATAGGCATACATTTGTCGTCCTCATTATGGAGGCAGTAAGCACCCCTGACACATCGGTCAGCTTCTATCACACAACAAGACGCAACATCCCAAAGGAGTCATTGTCGTCGAGGTTCCAAGCATTGGATGTCTTTTATTAAAATAAAGTAACACTGGACCTTCTCTTTCAGGAAACTAACAATCCGAAAAAGAAATTCGAAGTTTCAAAACCATTAAGAAAACAAGTCTGCAGTTTTACATTATGCTGAACTACTAAATCCTGTTTACATTCTCCAAATACAATCTGTCAACAGTCCTTTATAGCTGAAACTCGTCTAAACAATATTTAAGAATTCAATTCGTACCGCAAAGAAAACGCAACACTTCACTATTTCAGAGATAGATTTCTTTCTCATCTCCGTTAGAACCTCAAATCTTACAAATTCTTGACGCTTTTTAAGAAAATAACGCCTGTTGGCATACAGAACAAAACACATAAAAAGTGTCGACAATCACGACGCAACATCCCGGATGACAGCAATCTTCATACTCGCCGCCTTCAGATTTTGAAATCTCATTAGTTGAAAAGAATGTTGAAGGACGTTGTCGTGGCCATATTCCACATTTTCGCTAGATGAACTAAGGAAATTCACGAAGAGCTTCAATATAATCGGTCTATCGGCCAGGATTTTAACTCGAGACCTAACGAATACAAATAGCTAACCGCTCGACTGAGACGTGGCATTAGATGAATGTAAATGGCCAGCTTTATGCTCCAGTAGCAGTAGATCAGTTTAATGGGTACCATGGTTCTTTCTTGAGGGTAAAGCAGTTGAGGGCGCGAAGCTAACCACTTACATCCATCTAATGTCGAGGTTAAGAATGTTTGGAGCTATCTCTCCACTAGCCAGTACGATTGGATGGCGTGGTGATTAGTTAAGCACCAGGGAGAACTTATCCAGATGTTGCTTTATTGTTACAGAATTCACGGCTGGAAGTCTCTGCTATCTTTTATCTGTATCTCAGTAGCGAGGTGCTGGTTTATGCTGGGAGACTTCAACGACAGTGTGAGTAACAAACACATTCACTAAATACAAAAATATTGATAGTAATTTGCCTGTGCTCCACATAACTTCAGTACATGACAAAGAAACGGAAATATCAATTCACCTTGTGTGTATTCGTAGGATACTTTACGGATGTCGATTAAAAATTATGGTGGGATAAGAAAGGTAAGTTTGCTGATGCTGTGTGTTAAAACCGCTTAACAAAATTGCATTTCTCCGGTACTTACAAAGAAGCAGTTCAAAGTGGCTGTAGGTCTGAATGATTGCATTGGTACCATGAAGATAAAATTAACCTGGAAGTAAGTAAGAGTTGTATGAGGGTCATATTTGGAATTGATATAACAGTTGTTTCAGATTAATGTTTTGCAGAAGCTTATATTATGTAAGCCTAGACTTTTGTGGACATACTAGCTGAAAGAGAACTGTGCTATATTCCTCGAAAATTTATTTGCGTGTATCTTTTGACTGCGAAATGTAGTGTGCACATTTTTAGCCAGTTATTCTAAAGTCTTGTCAAACATACAGTGGAGTCCCAGTATCCTAGAATCACTACTAAAAGGAAAATGTGGTCAACAAATTATTTTTATTTTATTTTTCGAAGGATACACATCTGGGCCAATGTTTCTAAATCTACTTATCAAGATTCTGGTATCATATACTAAAACAAAATGAAACTAATTACTTTAAGAACTGTGTGATCTAGTTAGCAATTATATAAAGAGAACAAGAATGTCATGGGAAAACGAAGCTTTATTACGAAATTGTGTTAAAATTGCCAAATTTTATACTAACGTAAAACGTATCTGTGCAAAAGAAATATGGGTATTTTACATAGGTTGGACTGTTGTAGTGTAGGCCTAATATAAGCCTACTCCTGTTCTCTTTAGGATTTTAGACTGGGAGTTCTAAGATTATAACTCTTTATAGCTCAAATGATTTGTTCTTAGTTTTGTAATATGTAAAATGAATTCACATAGTGTGATATCCAGTAAGCATAACATGTCACTAAGATAAAAATATAAACTAGTTTGAGTCAGGGTGAATGAGATAAATTTACTGCATTTGCTAAATATGTGTACATCAAAGTAAAACATACCTTTTGTCTCCAGTTGCCTTTTGCTTGTAATGATGTTAACAATTTTGTTAGCACAGTAGTTGCACACAATAAGACGGAAATAATGTTCACGTTCTAATTTTAAATCTGTTTTCACGAAGTAATGAGAAAATCGAAGATGGAAGATTCGTAAAGTAAAATTATTCAATCTGTTACTTACATATGACGTCAGTGTAATTAGGTTCATCTCCTGTTACTGTCGTCATGCAAGTGTCCTAATGTCCCTAACCGGTGTCCGTGTCTGACGTTCCAGATTTCATACGGTCAAACTACATTGATTAGGACTATATAATGCATTAATTACGTTAATAAGAACCAGTATTAAGCATTATCTAAAACAGCTTTCTTTGCATTGTCATTTTATTAATATTTTAATAATTTAGAAAATTTCCGATTGTGATGGTACACTTGGTTTTCTAGAACAGGAAAATTCCAAGATTATCCCTGCCTGCAATGCATATTAAAATGCTGAATTATGTACACTTTTAAAACATACCTTGCTGGCAGTATTTTTGTTTAACTGTTATGCCGATTCGACAAAAAATAATCTTTATTTCAAGAACTAGATTTCCTAGTTGTTTACGCATTATCAAATCAATAATCGTCAACATTTTGAGCCACGGCGCTAAATTTTGAAAATTGTTTGGATGTCCATTATGAAGTGAAACTACGTGATGTAAAATACTTCTTGTTCTGTTTGTGACATAAATTCTTACGTTCGTCATTACTTTGATTTTGCGATCAATAAATTTACCAGAGTACATAATCACTAAGGATGATTCATCTTACTGTATGCTTGATCGAAAATACACGCAAAATTATTCGCAAACAACACACACTGAAATTATGAAGGTTTGTGCTAAAATAAACTTACCTTTTCTGAAATGCTGTAGAGGAATTGTGTGTCCTTAAATATAAGATTGCAGACATCTACGCACCAAATGTTATGTTTTACATAACAATTTTCTCTGTATTAAACGACTTGATTCTTATACATTTGTGGCGCCAGATGGCTCTGATGTGCTCGTACAACGTTTATTTTTATTTTCTTATTGTTCTTCCTCCACAATATCGACAATAAGAAGCCACCAACCACAAACCTCGACGCTGTTTTAGAATTGTTCGCTTGTTCACGCCCACCACACACTTAAGACAAGCGCCGGCATTCATAAGAATTTCAGTTGATTCTGTGATCTATGATTCACAAGTTACATTCGAACAATCAACGATATTTTCCGGAAAAAGAACACTAATTTGAAAGTATAATTCTAGCGCACGGAAAAAATGACGACTGTCTGTGGAGAGTTTAATATTTCTAGTGCTATTTTCATTGTTAGTAACTATGCGAGAGCGGCGTAAAGTAATTTATCATCACTGAAGAATAATACAGCTTTATGGAAACATGTTTAGCAAACTTGTGTCTGTAGTGTGACGGTGTGTGACGTGGTTGCATTGCATAATTTTATTCAGAATAAATCTTTGAGGTATTTCGTTCGGTACATGTTTTATGGCCTTCAATAAGTTTTATCCGGTATTTGTAAAAGCTTAGCCAAGATGTACGTATATCTCCTAGCAATGCATTAAATCTGCGGTAAACCGTGTTTTATGGAATCCAAACGTGCTATGCCATGTTTACAAGAACCCGCCACTGGTGAGATAAACGAAGCCAGTCACACTCTGTTTCTTTAATCTTATTTTTATTATTATTTTTAATCTTATTCTCCCATCTTTCTTTCCTTGTGGTCTTTCATCTAAAATGTTGCATGCGTTTCTCACCTCTATTCTGTATAGTGAATTTTGCATTATTTTAGCATTAAATTGAAGCGAAGAGCTTTGATTTTAAGTTAAATCATGTATAAGGTTTGCGTATCACATATCTCGTAGGAGGGCTTGTAATACTCGAAAGTAGCAATGCCATATGCACAGCAGTTTCATAACATATGAGTGACAGTACTATATTCTTCCTTCCATGTCCGGAATATGTCACTGGCATTAGCATACAATACGAGGAAATTGAAATTTGTATATTGGAGGGTAATACTAAACCGAATCTTAAAATAAATGGGTTGTGAGGGTGTAAACTGGGTTCATCTGGTTCAGTAACGAATTATTGAGAAGACGATAATGAATCTTATGTTCTATAAAAGGTGAGGAATTTATTGACTAGTGTAGCGACTATTAAGGTCTCAAGAAAGACTCTGTTCCATGGATTTACAAATTAATAGGTAAGAGTATTTTCAAAAACTCTTTATGGCGTATTTCTATAAATTCTCTTTCTTAAAACGTGAAAGAAATTAATCACACACTTTTCATTATGACGTCATGAAACAGCGTTGCCTTTACAAAACTATGTTTAGCATTTACACAAACCTATCAGATGTTTTGAGATGACATTCACACGTAATTTATATTATATTTGCATGTAGAATAAGTTTTGCACATTTATTCTGTTTTCTGAGGAATCGTGTATGTAATGTCAAATATATTTTTAAGTCTCTCTATAGTAAATTAATATTTTAGAACTCGCCACAGTATTTGAAGAAAATACTGAAGCATTGGCTGTCACCCTTCCCTTCTGCGTGTGGTCCTAAAATAACAGAAGTGGTTTTATTTCATGACATCGCAAATTTTATTGTCAAGGAATAAATTTACATTTTGATACATATATAGTTCAAATTGCTCACTTGCTAGAACTTCTGTATCACTTGACGGTGGTACGCGGTTCAAATATCGGTTAGCAAACTAATTTTGAGGTTTTTGTAGTTTTCCTCTGTTCCAGGCGGTGGCAAGTCTTAGGTAATGGCAAAAGCACTCTTAACGGTTTTTTCTACGTAATTCACAACGATTAATTAAATTTGTCTCCTTTGTCGTTTTTTGATAATTTTGTCGTTCAGTAATCTCAGAAACACAAGAATTGTTCAAGAAATTAAATTTCATTGCTGAATCTAGTGATTATGTAGATAGACTTACCTGAAGCTTGTCGAGAGAAGACCCATGTTTCAAAAATATTCCCATTCTGATGGCGGAGTACTTACAGTTTGCCAGTGGAAGTTTCAAGTAGATGTGAAATCCACTTCGATAACGCAGGATTTTTTACGAATTCTTTATTACACTAAACTATATTCGGAAGTTAATTTTATACGGATCTGTAAAAATAACGAGTACACATTTAATTCCGGCCTATTTCGAAGAAAGGAGGCCTTAAACATGATGTTGTGAGATATGATGTTTACTCGACAGACTGTGTTAGATATTAATATTCTGTGTTGCGTGCAGTCTTTTGTTATATAGCAGCGTTTCAAAGGAATATGTTGCCTTCATCTTCAGGGCTGCAGGTGTCACTCCTATACCAGAAGACGAAGGCAGCATTCTCCTCCTAAATAATGGAATAAAACCTCAAGACTACGTGGCCCAACAATGCAGAAAATCATAATTTAAAGTAGATGGGTCACAGAGATGTTCCGGTTCTAGAAATAATTGTCAGATGTTCAAGTAATCACAGTGGGAAGTTTCTCGCCGTTAGGTCCCTTAATTTTCTGTAGAATTCACCACAAGTTTAAGGCTTAAAACACTTTGAAACTACATTGTTAGATTTTTCGAGATAACATTCCCTCAACCGTAACGGAAGTTTTCGCGTGATTAAATAGAATCGTGGAACACTGACGGTCTTACGGATTCACAGAATGAAGCACCGAAGTAACAGAATTTGTAGAGAAAACTTCATCTCTTATTTTAAGATAGATTAAAAACACTGGGTACTTTTGCCCGATGAAGTGTGCACTTGTGATTGGGGTCCGTCGTGTTGAGCGCTTCTAATACTTGTTCGCTGCGGAGGGGCGGGAGGGCGTTCCGAAATACCCAGGTCTCTCTTCAGGGTCGGGATATGTCGCTAACCTTCAGGTGGGCTTGACGTAACAGTGGCGTATGTTAAGAGCCTCCTGTTGCTATTGGAGGTTTTGTTGACGCCGGTCTTGTCAGAAAGACAACGCGTTGAGTGATACGAGCTACTGTTACATGTTCATTCGATAAAGCAGTATCAATTCATAGACACTGATTAATACCACTAGATTAATTAAAGTAAGAGTCAGGTGGACCAATTGTGGAGCACGCATAAATAACAAATGCAGGTTAAAATGTTATTTTTGTTGACGCTTCATATAAATTTTGTTAGAGATCAAGGGGTAGATCAGAGTGAATACAGTTTCTTGTGGCTGTGTTTTCGGTATCACTGCCTCCGTTGCCGCGACTTCTAGTCCTACCGGCACAGACACCAGATGTCCACACTCTTAAAATGAATTTTTGGTAAAACGTTTGGGAATATATAAACTGGAGTAAATTCGGCCGAGACCATGTTATTTTAAGTCGTACCAATTATACTAAATCGATTCTCGAAAGGGGTTATTTAGAAGTAACTGCGTGTCGTAAGGTAACTCGAACAGGTATCTGTAGATATAAAGGTGCTGAGTGCGTTCTGGTACCGATCGCTTCTCACTGACTGATCATAATTCCGACACAATATCTTTAACTTTTGTCGAAGTTCTCAGTGTGTTACGGTACACATTTTGGACAAACCGATTGTAGTGTGCGTCTAAATACACAGTGGACCAATGAACTGGAATACACGAAGATTTGCTACAACTAAAATAAAAGTTTGCTACTGGACAACCCTGAGCCACTTCACTTATGGACACACACTGATTCATTTTAGTACCAACGTCACATTCTTATCGGGTCTTCATAGTTTCTGTTATGCACCGCATGTTTTAAACTGCTCATAACACATACAACTGCACTCCTGTCACATCCAGTAACTGTTTCCTTGCCTAGAATTCTCATAAATCGTATCCATCCGCGACTTAGAACCTGGCGCCTACATACATCCGGGCTCCGGATTCGATCCCAAGGCTGCTCCAAAAATAATGACGCATTGTGTTACTTCTGTAGTTGAAATGCTGACGTGGTTTGTAAGTAATGTTTTCCATGGGCCTACTGCAAACTATAAACAATTTTCACTTGTCAACCGGACATCTTGTCATCAAGACGTGACTCTTCATCAACTTACGGAGGAAGAAATCTGCCTCCAGATATGATCTAGGATGTAGCTGCGAAGTGAGCTGGCACGTTTTAAATTGTCACGAAGTGCTTCGGACTTAGACGGATTGTTTAGCACGATCTAAACTACTAATTTGTGCATACAAATTTTTGTACGAAAACAAAGCAAGAAACCACTTCCTTTGGTATTAAAATAGGGTGTGGGGTTGTGAATTGGATTATGCTTATCCCGTTTCAAATCAAGATGTCTGACAGTTGCTTTTAATTTTTTGTTCATTCCCCGAACCTAGGTGAGGTTTCAAGTTGTCAGTGCAATGCGTATGAAGATAGCTGCCTTCTGGGTTGTTGCACCGTGCAGCCTGGTAGATATCGACTTTTGACGTTGAGACGTGTAAGTAAGCAACTCTGAAACGTCGGTTAATTTCAACGAGCCTACATGATGCAACATTCTAGATGACGGTAATCTTCAAAATTTTGGAATGCTGGAGAATGTTGTGACTTCAAATGAATATTATGTGTTGCCAACATCATTTAAAATTTTATATTTCGACTTTCACGAGAACAGAATATTTCTAATGTTTGTATATAGTTTACGGTGATGTAATCCTTGAGTAGATCTAGCGATGAAAACTAATTGTAAGTGTTGCTACATACTTTTATTTCTTTGAATGCAGATTACATCGCAAAAAATGCTAAATAGAAATGATAGATATTATACAGATATAAAATGTTGCCTTTTAATCACGAGCAGTTGTATCTTAAACCAGTTAATATAAGATGCGCTGACTCCACATTTATTTTCGAAAACATCTGTGGGTTTTGATTTCAGCTTCACTTGTTATAGCAGTTATACATGCAGTACTATTATACTATTATGAACTGATGTGTTTTTCGCCTAGCAACAGAACCCCACTATAAAATTAAATCTAAATTCCTTCAGTAGCTTTGGAGATGAAACGTGAACAAACAGACAAACATGAACCACTTCTTCTTCTCCATTATGTTTTTTTTTAAATTACGTGTGAAGACTGTTCAACAACAGCTGTTCATTCCTGGGAACAACATGAAACTTGTAAATCGACGTGGGCGCAAATACCCGAATCATGAAACTCCAAGGGACAGTACGTACAGTTACCACTGCAATTTATAAAGCTAACAATGTTTATTTACATTATTAACTAATGCTTTTAACAATAACCTTATCACTTTTATTTTTAACTGTATTGGTAATTCTAAAAGTCATATTAGTGATATTTTACTCAACTTAAAACGTGAAGAATCAAATAATGGTCAATTGT